AATGGGATTGGGGGGGTTCAATGGGGTTGGGGGACACAAGGGGGTTCAGTGGGGCGCAGTGGGGTTGGGGCACTCACCGCTGTTGAGCCAATAGATCTTGGGGGGCACAGCACTCTCAGGGGGGTCGCAGGGCAGCACCACGGGGTCCCCCTCCTCCACCTCCACCGGGGTCACCTTCTCCTTCGGCCACTGAGGGGTGTCTGTGGGGCAGCAATGGGGGGGTAGCGGCATTGGGGGGGCAGAGGGATCCCAAAGATGTGGGGTTGGCCAATATTGGATGAAGGGAAGCCCAAAGGATTTGGGTCGGTCAAGAGGGGAGGAAGGGAACCCAATGGATTTGGGGTTCCTCAAAGACCCCAAAGGATTTGGGTTGGCCAAGAGGGGATGAGGGAAACCCAATGGATTTGGGTCGGTCAAGAAGGGGAATGAAGGGAACCCAACGGATTTGGGGGGGATCCCGGGGGTTCCCGGGGGGGTTGTGGGGGTGGCTCACTCTCGGCGATGACGTTGGCCTCGGGGGACACGGCGGTGCCCAAGGCGTTGGAGGCGAAGCAGCGGAAGCGACCTTGGAGGCGTCCGGCCAACGTGGCGTTGATGACCAAAGTCCCCGAGCCGGGGAGCACCGAGACCCCCCCGTGCTCCTCGGGGATGAAGGGTTGATCCTCCCGGGTCCATTGGTACCTGGGAATGGGGGTGGTGTTGAGGGGCGGGGTGTGGGGAGGGAGGGGGGGTTGGATATGGGGGGCGCTCACTGGACGGGGGGGTTCCCGGTGGCTGCACATTTGAGGACGATGTCATCGCTGGGGAAGACCACGAGTTGTTCTGGAGGTTCCTCTGTCAGCTCGGGGGGTTGCAGGACTGGGGGGCAGCGGGGGAGAGGGGGTCAGGTGGGGACACGGGACTCCTCGGGGATGGCCCTATAGGGAACCCATGTGGGGGAGAATAGGGGCTGCCAGACCCGACCCCTGGATCCGTAGAGCCCAGACCCAACTCATGGACCATGTAGGACCCGTGGGACCCCACAGGACCCTCAGGAACCCTCTTAGGACTCCCAGAATTCTGCCCCCCACCCCTGGGCACCACAAGGACTCCCATAGACCACACCCCATAGGGACCACAGAGACCCCACAGGGACCCCATAGAAACCCCACAGGGACCTCGGGGATCCCCTCAGGAATCTCTTGGTGACCTCAGAGATCCCCTCCAACCCCCCCGGCCCCCACCTGAGGATCTCAGCGCCACCCACAGCCCCTTAGACCCCCCCGGGCCCCTCCCAAACTCACAATCGTGTGCACCATCTGCATCCCGGGATGCAAAGGGGGGTGAGAAAGACAGTGTTGAGAAGAGCCCCCCCCAATCCCCGGGCGTGTGAAGCCACGGGGCCATCGTGAGCGTCCGTGCAAAGGGAAGGGGAGGGGGGGGGGGCGAGCGTGCAAGAAACCCTCGTGCAGAAGAAGTGCAAGCCCCGCCCCCCCGCCCCACTCACACTCTGGGGGAATGGTGATGGCGGCTCCAGGCCCCCCCAGCAACAGGAGCAGGAGGAGGCCGAGCCCATGGGGCAGAGCCATGGCGGGAGCGGGCGGCTGCGCGGCCCTGGGGGGAACGGGGGTGACTTCTGGAGGGGGACGGCACCCCAAAGTGACCCAAGAAATGTATTTCGGGGGGAGGTGTAGGGCCGGATTCCCCCACGGTAGCACCTGAGGACCCTCCCCAGAGGGGAGGAGACATCGTGGGGCCCAGCGGCCACCAGGGGACCCCCCCTCACTCGGGGACACCCCCCGAGTGCAGCCCCCCCCCACGCGCGAAGCTCCATTGTGTGGTCTCCACCGCCTCCCCCTCCCCCGCCGCGGATGCACCCGTTGCCATGGCGATCGCTAATGGGGAACCTGTCACCTTGGCTCGGGACCCGACGTCCGAGTGCGTGTGTAAGT